TCCCTTGGGATAATTTATGGACCAATTATTGATGATATTATTATTGTTATTATCCGGTTCGGGAGGTTGCGGGTCATTAAGAGTGCAATATTTGTATTCTTCGGGCGAAGGTGAGTCTCCTCACCATACCCATGGGTCTACGATAGCAAGGCTGGCCCATTATGTGTTTATGATATATGTGAAATCACTTTGTGATTGATATGTAATGTGATCATATGTTTTGCATGAAGACCTCGGGGGAGCCCATGGCATTGGATGTAAGACCATGTGGGGTAGCCATGGCAGTCCTAGGTAAAGACCATGTGGGGTAGCCCATGGCATTGGATGTAAGACCATGTGGGGTAGCCCATGGTAGTCCTAGGTAAAGTCCATGTGGTGTAGCCCATCGCATTCTTGTTGGTTCTATGGATGCATGGCCTATGTGATATGTTACTTGGATATGTGTATGTTTGGTTTGTTGTATTCTCTAGGGAACTCACTAAGCATTTCGCTTATAGGTTGTTGAATTGTTTCAGGTACATCGGAGCCAGCAAGGGCAAGGCGTGATGGTGCGGCGTGCACTCTATCTATCTCTTTTTTCATTAATATGTTTATGGACACACTCTGATAATCTATATAATGTAATGGATGGTGTTTTAAACTAAATATGAGAGTCATGGTTTTATGTCAATGTGTTATTTAAATTAAATGAAACTTTTTTGTGGTAAAATTTTGGGCTGTTACAATAAGCACATTAAGTCTTTAGGGTTGGCCTCCTTACCAGCCTCCAAGTCCCCAAAAGCCTAGTAATTGTCGTTTAACCTACATGGTGCTGTGTTTTAGCCCATGATGTGCATCTTTGTGTGTTTTGGCTCTTAATCAAGAAGAAGGATTTTGGTGCAAGGTTGTGAATCAAGGAAGAGCTTGTGGATTTTGAACTTGTTCATTGTTGGCTAGATCTTTTTTTTTTTTATGATTTTTGGTTCCTTTTGGCCCCAAGAATGAGATCCACTCCAGAAGCTATGAGTTTCCACTCTTGGTGTTTCTGAGGGTTTTTTGATTCATAAAGTTGTCTCCTTTATGTTTTAGAATCCCTCATGTATGAGATTGGTCCAAATGGTGAAAGTATAATGCTATATCTTGAAGTTGGGTTCTTTTGGGGCATGCAAAGTCACCAAGTCAGTGACTTAATGGTTCTAGACAATTGTTTGGACTCAAATTTGTGGTTTGGACATCTGGACTTAAGCATGAAGAGCTTAATATAGTTTTTGTCTTAATGGATGAGTATGTTGGGCATTCAAGTCTGTACACGCAACGTACAAGCCAAGCAGTGTGTACGTTTAGTGTACAGCTGAGTAAGCAGTACTCAGTGATGTAAGTTTTTTCTTATTGGGCCTTTGGTTTGGGCTTTCTTTTGGGCTTGGATATTTGGGTTCTTAATAGGCCATCTGAATGCAAGAGTTTTGGACTAGGAAAATGGTTGGGATTAGGATAAGGCCCATGTAAAGGGGTATGGGCCCAATTTGGAAAATTAGGCCATATTTGGACCTTGGTTGATTAATGGGCTTTTGGGCCTTTCATATTGGGAGTTGGTACCTTAGTAATTGACTAAACTAGGTTAGGGGTAAAATATTCTTTTTTACCCCGAGTATGGATCTATGGTTATGGATTGGAACCCAATTGTTAATTAGGTGTTGTGTTGATATTGATAGTTCATGGATCTGTCAGCCACCAGCCAGGGATTTTCTGTGTGATTCGATAGTGTGATGTGAGTCTCCTCACTCAGTTTACCGGGTCGAAGGCACCACTATCGGTCCATGGTTTTATATGTTAGGATGCTAGATGTGTGTTTGACTCTTGCATGTGTTATACGATTGTATGCTTACCAGGCAAGGCCCGATGCCAGGCGAGGCATGATGATTATATCGTATGCTAGTTATCAATATATGTTTTTTTATGCCTACCAGGCATGGCTCGTTGACCGTATTATGCTATAGTCTTTGTTATTATTGCATGGGCTAGTAAGTTTATATGTTTATATGATTGTATGGTTATATGATTATGTCTGTACCGGGTAGGACCCAATGTAAGGTTGTTAAGTATATTTGGGTTGCGTCTTGGGCTTTGTATTTTGTATCCGGATTGGGCTTGTCCATTCGTGTCTATCTAGATTACTTTCTTAGTTATCTAGATTAGTTGTTAGGGTTATAGTATATATATATATATATATAATATATATATATATATATATATATATATATATATATATATGTGCATGCATGTATGCGTATATTAACAATTATTCTTTACGTTGATTCTTGTAACCCTAAATGCCTCTACAGATTGAAGTTCTTTATCGAGCTCTTCTGAGGTGTTATTACATTAATCATTCGACATATTCAGCGCAATACTTGTGTTCTTTATTACGTTCTTATTTAATATCTTGCTTAGAATCATACGATCCTAAAAGAACTTTGTTCTAACAATTGGTATCAGAGCAGGAGACTGTGTGATCAATACACATTCCTTCTGTATTCGTAATACTTTAGGGTTTCCGCTTTTATCTTTTAAATAGAAGTCATCGTCTTCATAACGATGACAACTCTATTTTTGATAAAACCCTAATCTCAAGTTTACAGGTTTGATTCTAGCAGCTCACCATGTCTCATGAAGATTCGTATATAAACCCCCACTACTAGAAAAAAGGCCTTTTACGACGCTCATTGCGTGTCGTAAAACGCTCAGACGACGCGCAAATGCGTGTCAAGGATGGCCCTGTCATAAAGAGAGACGACACGCATTTACGACACGCATTTATGACGCGCATTTACAACACGCGGTTATGACACGCAATGCGTATCAAGGAAGGCCCTGTCATAAAGGAAGACGACACGTATTTGCGTGTCGTAACCTTACGACGCGCGTATTTATGACATGCAATGCGTATCAAGGAAGCCCCTCTCAAGAAAGGCCATGTCATAAATGAAGATGACACACATTTTTGCGTATCATAATTTTAAATGTTCTAAAAAAATATTTATATATTTATTAATTTTTAAATTAAATTTGCATTTAATGTCTCATAATAGAAATAAAATATCATATACAAAAAATACAATCCATTGGATAAAATTTAATGTCATACAATTCTATTTTTTACAATATCTAAATTTGCATCTAATCTACTCTCTACATCAAATTCCAACTAAGTAAAGTTGCATCTTGCCTTTCATAATTCTTTAAGACTAATGCTCCAAACAGCTGTTATGTGGATAAGAAGTTGTACATTGGCCCATCTCACTTAAGAATGACTTAGCCAAATTCAACTCCCAGTCTTTACTGCATCTTGCTGATAATGCTGCAAGATTTGAATCAAGTGGCTTCATATTCCTTTCTTCCACCAACTTTACCTGATGCACAAAATACACAGAAACAAAAAAACATTGTAGAGGAAGGGGTAATTCTGGAAAATGTAAGGGGTATCCTCTGCAAAACAAAACAAAAAATATCCTTTGCAAGATTTGCTCTTTAGTATCCTCTGCAAAACAAAATAAAAAATATATATCAAAAAATTAAATTTTTTTATAGTTTTATATTATAATTATGCCTAGAGTATTGCATACATGAAGAACCATTTGTTAGCTCTACAACACTTTTTGAATCTGAACCAAGTTTTCATCACTAACACTAACACCTTTTGTAGCCCCTCGGACTACGCATAAAAGTTAGAAAAACTAAATATTCCAAAAATACCCCCATGACTCTTTTTGTCCCAGAATCTGAATTAAACCACAAGTGATGCTTCGATTTCTCTGTTTCTTGCAACTTCAACATGAAGTGTTCTGAAGATCAACATTTGCTTGATTTGATGATTCAACATTAGTTGCCCTTGGTCCTATTCCTGTTAAAAAGATACATATGAGAATAAATATATTGTTGAATCTCAAATGTGATTTCTTGGATGTCTATTGATAACTTTGCCAATGCTTCAGAGTCGTATGTTAAGAGTGTTATTGTATGTTGTTAGTATTCAAAATTTCTCCACTATTACCATTGAAGAGGTAAGTTGTTGATGAGCCAAATGGGCTTCCTCCTGAGCAACCAAAAGCTCTTTGTATAGCTACTACAAGATACCAATGAATTGATTAAAAAAAGAATAGCAATATATATAATTAAAAAGGAAATCATCATAAAGTCATGAAGTCAAACCTTTTCCTACTTATTAATGACATCCTTATCTTTTTCTGTTTCCAAATCTACAACAGAATCCAAATTCTAAAACTTGAAGCCTTCTCCTTCGCCATCTCCGACACTGAGATCTACATTACAAAATGAACAAGTGGTTCGCAAGACATTGAGATTAAACCTTTTGTAACAGGCATTGCTATGATTGAGTTTTTTTTATTTAATACAAAGTTGTAATAGAAAAAGAAATGAAAGTACAATGATGTAATAGGGAAGGAAATGAAAGTAGGATGCTATAACGGGACAAAAACTACTAGTGAGAGAAAGGGAGAGAAGGAACACCTGGCAAAGGAGGATTTTCATGCTTAAACAATTTGTAAAGTTTTTGTTACATTTGCTTGACATGTTCTCTTCCCATGTGGATTATGGTACTCATTCAAATACACATTCTGTTTATCTTCAAATAAAAAAAAAGTCAAAAGGTCAACAGATAATCAGAAAAAGTCAAAATGAAAAAAAAAAACTTGTTTTTATTGACTTTTCAATCTCAACCGGTTTCTTATCCCAAGTATCTCCTAAAAATTCATTCACAGAAACCGCATTTTGAGCTACATCACAAGGGCATATTCGTAAATTCAACACCCACACAAAAAAAATAAAGATTTTCATATTTTAATAGTTTAAATGTTTTCTTAAGTCATAATATTCATAGGATATGTAAAATTACCTACCTGCCCTGCTTCATTGTCAATTTGAAACTTTCTAGCAGCCACACCAGATGTTGTGAAATATTTATGACTTCTTCTAAGCTGTTGGCCTGAAAAAAAAAGGTGAAATTACAAAATTAGGTCTCAAGAGAATGAAGTATGAACATGATCAGTTAAATAAGTATTATATATAGAAAGTATTAACAGAATTGCATGCAAATAAGAATTGGACCAAAGATTTCTTCCTGCATTTAGATAAAAGTTTAAATCTTGTAACATACTTTATGCAAAAGATGTAAATGCCCTTCCTCATCCTCATAACTGAAAATAGCACTAGAAAGCTTATACCTTGTAACACTCCATATCTTCAGTAACACCAGACAAGATTGTGGGCCCAATATATGTTTACTTAAGTCTGCTGAATGGGATTAAATGACCATTTTGTCCTTATATCATAAAGAATTATATGAAGTTGAAAAAAAAATACAATATCTCTTCCATCAAGCAGTAGTTTAGCTCCACTTTCAACTCCACTTTGGATCAATCTGCACACTCGTTCTTTTGCCTAAAAAATATAAAAACAAATTCAAAAAAAAAATTAACAAGAATTATGTTTATTACTTTATGTATACATAACATGATAATATTTAAGATTTAAGATTTAAGATTAAATTTTATTTGTCGGGTCCAAGTCTTTCAGAAACCGAGACACCTCATCAATCTCAACCGTTTTTTCAATCTAAAAAAAGTACAATAAAATATATATTATAATAAAATATATGTTACAAAATAGAAATACGGAATACCTTCAATAATGCTTGTCTGGCTGCTTTCCTCTCCAGGTCTCTTTTCTATTATTCTTCTGCAGCAGCTTCCGCCTTCACTCGCCTCCAAGCATCTTCAGCTGCCTTGGCTTCTGCTTGTAGTCGTGCTTTTTCAAAAACCACAACATTTATGTTTTTATATTACTAAAGAAAGAAAAACTTAAAATATTTATAGTATTGGCAAACCTTTCCTTTTTTGGTTTTCAAGTTGTTGGGGGTCCTCTTTTATATTACTAAACAAAAGGAATGATATGGAATTGTGTTCGCAAAATGTTTTTTCAAAAGTGCAGCCTTGTACAGCTTATTAGGTGACACCTGTCTCTCGTTTTACTTTTCCTTTTCGTTTCTATCCCCTTCCCCTAAATTTCCAAAACTCATAAATCAATCATATTGCTAAACAGTCAACAAAGAACATTTCATTTTTCATTTATCGCCTCCAAAATCCAAATCCAATACAATGCTTCTTACCATCATCCTCCTTCTCCTTCTGGCTGCTATCTGATTCCATATCATTCCTTTTGTTTGGCTTCTGCATTGGATTTCCTTCACCATCTGAGACCGACTCTAAAAAAATCACCACCAAAACTCTTTCTCATCTATTTAAATATTATTCTTCATTTCATAAAAAAGGACTCACTGTTTTCTGCTGAATGCTTTATGCTGTCTTGTGATCCGAATTTGTTCCACCAGCATTTGTATCCTCATCCTGCTGCTGCATATATATATATATATATATATATATATATATATATATATATATATATATATATATATATATATATATATATATATATATATATAGACCAGCCATAAAGATTCCACCCAAGACAAAAAGAAAAGCATATCTTGCAATTTCCAGATAATTCATATCATATACTACAAAGATGAAAGTAGGTGACCTGAATAATTTCAAGTATAAGCTTCTGAAAAGTATATAAAATAAGAGTAATTTGTAACAAAGATCAAAGACCTACCAGAAATATTCATTGAAATCATCATAATTCCGCCATGCTGAATGGGCAGTTTTCCCATTATTGTTTCGTTCTGCTTCCTGTGAAAAAGAAAGATTTGTTTAAATATGCGAGTGGCAATTTAATTAATAACAAACTCATTAATTTTATTAACAAAATAGGGGAAAAGATTTATTGACCTTAGAGAGTGTGTTGTAAATTGGTTGAATGACATGTGCCAAAAAGGAAACTGAATTATCTTCACAAATAAAACTTTGTGCAGGGCTAGCTTGTCCATGATCCAAATGGCATTGAATTCCCTGGCCATTTAGGTAATACAAGTATTTATCAGTTTAAACAATCATGTTAAATAATTGATCAACTAATAGAGATAAGAGTAAGACACTTACATGGTGGAATCTATAGCAAATGCATTCTGGAAGAAAACGGACATTTGCAGCTTCACCCCAGATTAAATAGTATAATGAAACCAAGAAAAGCTTCTTGTCCTTGTTAATGGTTTGTATACTATTGAAAACAACTTTCACAATTAGCATAACATGACAAACGATGATTTTTATTTATAAAAAGTGATAACAGGGGATGGAAGTCACCTGTTCCAAACAAGACGTATACGCAAATATTTTCACCATTTGAAGTAATTATCAAGAAACTTTAGGAACACTTCCATAATAGCTTTCTCATTTAGTTTCTAAGAAAATTATGAATGACATGTCAGCAACTTTCCATTAATAATAGTGTATAAACTGTAGATACAAAAAATAGACTTACTAGATCAGCTTCAGATAGTATGCCAAGTCATGATTGTGCATTTGCTAAAGAGAGAACAATATTCTCACGTTGATTCCTGATATTGTCTTTCTGCATATATAATATCACCATCAGTAAACAAAAGCTGAATTGAACTGAAGGAAGAAGGTGAAGCACAAGAAGCTTTTTTGTTGATTTTCAAATGAATGGTGGAGAATATATATCACAGATTAAACTAGTGTAAACCATTACACAACTGGAAACACAAATTTGTCAAGCTGACAATCATAATATCTTTTTTTCTTTTATTGGGTGGTCATATTGCCTGGATGCTATAAAGGGAGAAGTGAAAGATGCTAAGAGGTGCTTATATGCATTACTTGCTCACCAACTATGTGTATCTATCACATTGAAACTCTTGACACTAAAGTCAATCTAATAATCAGCTATGAATATTGGAGATGCCTTTAAAGTTTATAAAGAGATTCTTCATCTAAAGAGCAAAGTAAAACATTTTGATGACAAATCAACAAGAATAATGATTTCTCAGTGGCAACTGTAGAATACTTTAAGATTCAGTTAACCAACTTTTAGATGGTACAAGGATATTGTTAACTCATAGGCAAGATGGGAGAAGAAATACCTCTTCTGTAATATATCTACCAACTCCATCATGTGCAACATCTTTGCTAAGGATTTCCATTACCTCAACAAGATCTCTTAATGTGGTAAATACCTTTTTAGTTTCTTGAGATCTCAATCCCAAACTGAAATTCATATAAACAGTTCTAATGAGGCTTTAATTTTCACAAGTGACATTATTGTATTTTTCGTAACTCAAAAAGTGGTATTTTTAGGGCCAAAAGATAAGAGTGTACTTACCCTCCCATATCAGAACTGAAAGTTCCAGATTCAAGCATTCTTTGTTCCTCTATCTGGATTTCATCAACTCTATGTACTCGTTTGTAACGCTGATAGAAATCCCACGGGTTTTGAGCATCACGATTACGATCTATTCGCCCTCCATCTTTTTTGGCTAGTTTAAACTACTAGAAAAACAGAGAAATGAATAAGAGAGAGAGAGAGAGAAGCGTATGAATTAGGATATAAAAATCCAGTTTCAAACTCCCAAAAACGGAGAATTTTAGTGACGATGATCCATCGGAAGTGGGTTAAAGATACGGAAATCAAACCTTGAATCGAGGGTGTAAAAGAAGGTCTCTATTTGTTGCTTTCACTCTGCCTCCATCGTTGTCTTTGATTCGTGCTTTGAAGTCCCGTCAATCTTCTCCACGCACAAATCAGACCCTAAATCGATTAGCTCCATTTATGTTATTTGTATTTATACCACAGTTGCATTTTATTTTACTGAGAAAACCCACCATCACTGAAGGAACCGAAGGAGGTGACACCAACTGATCGAAAGTGGCGGTTACCTTGGTGGACTTAAGGAAGCCGATGAATAGTACCATAGAGAGGCTGGAGCAGTAGAACCATCCAGAAAGAAAGAGAAACAAAGATATAGTATCAGAGAAGGGAGATAAGGCGGTGGAGAAGAGCCGAGAAGCAGCGATCTGAGACAAATGCAAGGATGAAAATCACGATTATATGTAAGTGGGGAATAAAAGCCCTAGTTACTGGTCGCGTGATCTTCAGGAATGAACGCGAGCAGAGATGGTCTAGTGATTAGGGTTTCCAGAGAGAAAGGGAAGAGAATGAAGGCAGGTCTTGAAGTCGGGCGCATGTTTTGAGTAAAAATATAAAGCGGCATTAAAAGAGAGGACGCCCATTTTACATAAAGTGCCCTCCGTGTTTTTAATTTTTTTTTACATGAGACACTAATTTCAGGGCACGTAATAATGCGCGACGTAACTCATTCAATTTTTTGAAGAGATGACACTTTTTTAATGTCAATCTCTTTTACGTAACATAAATCTCCGAGTGTCGTGGTTTGCGCATCGTAAAAGGGTCTTTTTCTTGTAGTGCCCATTAACATCTCAAACAACATCGGATTAACAACCAGAGTACCCATACTCTATACTCAAGACTATGAAGTATGGGCTCATCACTTTGAAGACTACGTGGTTGGATCGGAAGACAATGGCTATCTCATCTGGGAAGCTATCACTCTTGGACCGTTTGTACATTCGGAGACAAACACAATTGTTAAGACACAAAAAGATTACAACAAGTTGGTGACAGATGTTCAGAAGATCCCACGGGATGAGAAGTATAAGATCTTGTGTAACGTTAAAGCCATGCGGAAGATAAGATTCGCCCTGCAATCTGACACCTTTCGGCTTGTAGGTTCATGCACAACTGCTAAAGAGATCTGGGATAGGCTGAAGGAACTTTACTCAACTGATGAAGATCTGGAACACTCCATTCAAACTCTGTTACTATTAGAATTCGGAGTTTTCGAACAGAAACCTGAAGAGAAGCTTGTACAGACCTTTGATCGGTTCAATCATCTCTTAAGTAAGATGATTAAGCATGGGATAGAGAGAAAGTTGATCGAGCAGAAAGTAATGTTAATGAACGGGCTGAGACCAGAATGGATGGTTGTAGTTTCCACTGTGAAGGCGCATGAACAGTTCAAATCATACTCGCTGGCAAAACTAGTAGGGATACTGAAGTCCTATGAAAGTGTTGTAACTAAGGAAGCGAAAGTGGTCTCTGGTGTGGGATCGTTGGTTCTTGTTTCTAAAGGAAAAAGTACTATTGAAGAAGAAGCAGAGTCAGACATGTCAGAGTGCGAGCTTACAAGTGAGGAGTATGCCCTGATGATCACAAATCCAAAGAAATTCGCAAGGAGAAAATTTCCCATCAACAAGAACTAAAACTGGCAGGGAAGTTATAGTTCTGAGAAGATGAAGGATGAACCGAAAGTCTTGTCTCAAAAGGATGAAGAGAAAAAGGAGAACAAGCTTGCAGGATACTATGGATACGACTGCAACTATTGTCATGGCAAGAACCATTTTGCCAATGATTGAATGTTGAGAAAGATGGCTGAGAAAAGAGAGGGTGAAGATGATGAGGTGTATTATATGTGAAAATTAGAAGAAGTCAAAAAGAAAAAGGCGTCCAACAACTCAATGAATGCCTTAATTGTACAGGAGAATGCTGGAGAAGATGAGTTCGGTGGCATAGAAGTATGGTCAACCGACTCTGAAGACGAAGAGGTTAGAAGACCCACTCATGGAAAGGCGTATGTGGCAAAGAATGAAGGTTCGGGTGGAAAATGCTTTATCGTCACTGCTGGACTATCAACCAAAAGTACAGATGCAGAGTCGAACCTACAAGTGTTTTGCGGCCAAGCCAGTGAGTGAGAAGATCAACGACTGTGATCGATTGATCAAAAAGGTACATTCTATTCTTGAGTCTCTTAAAATTTCAAAAACTGATTATCAAGAAGAATTAAATGAATTAAACTTTAAATTTTCTAACCTAAGTAGTAGCCTCATGAAAACCCGCTTAGCAAATTCTAACCTAACTGACCAAATCGGCAGGGTGTCTTCAAAAAGTGAGGAGAGGAGAATCTGGATTGAGCTGATGGAAGCAGAGTTAGTTAGGGCTAGGGATGAAAGTATTTATTTGCAAAGAGACAATTTAAAGTTATTAAAACAAAGAAATGTTTTCTGTTTAATTGCTAAGCGTCTTTATACTAATATTGCTCAATTACATTTAAATTGTGAAATTGGTAAGAAAATTCATAAGATGATTTTGCCCTTTCTTGAATTTAAAGAAGATGAAGTTATAGCAGAATGTGAATCAGAAGTGTCCTCTGAAGAAACATCAATGTCGTATAGGCTAGGTTTGGATAAGATAGATACTTTCATCGATTCTAAGGAGCATAAAAGTATGTTAAAACATATCTTAGATGAAAATGATATGCTAAAGATTAAAACTAAAACTATAAAAACATTCGATCTGTCAAATGCTAAAATTGTTGAGGATAATAAAATCAACTTAGATAATTCGTCTGAATTTGATGCGGAAAGCGAGATGAGTGAAATCTCCGTAGAGGATGAAGTTGATTGTTCTAAGTTTATGAAAAATGAAACCGAGAATGAAAAACCTCTTATATCGGAAAGCTCGGTTGAGTTTGCACGTCTGTCAAAAGAACAGAAACCAAAACTCCAGGAAAAAGCCTTGGTCTATCAAAAGGTTCAGACCGTGCCAAATCGGGCTTATGCTATGACTGGGGTCACTCAAAGGCAAATGGAAGAATTAAGAAAAATAGTTGACGAAGATAACGCTGAAGGATGAGAAGACTATTTCTGGTATGCTCCTATTGATAATGCAGACGAGACTGTGGGACTATCTGAGAAAAACACATGGAGAGTAAAAGGTAGATACATAACAAAACCCATCAACAAACCCTCCAGTTTCGATATTCCAAGCACAAGTGGAGCCAAAGATGTTCCAGAGGAACCGATGGTTGAACCTGATGTTCCAATCAAGAGGGAAGAACCGAAAGTTCTGCTCAAGAGAGAGGAAGCACCGAAAGTTCAAACTAAGTCAACTGCAACTCAGAAGGAGAAACCAAAGGCCAGCTTCAATGTTCACAAATCTCATAAGGAGCTAGAAGAACAAAAACGCCTGAGAAATCAAAGATATGCCACGAATCTGAATGAACGGAAAAGGCATTGGAATTCTCAAAATCCAACCTATGAGCCTCCCAAGAAAGAATCCATGGACAAGGGAAAGGAAAAGTTGAAGGAAAATTTCTGTCTAAATTCCTATTATTCCAAATCCCAGAACCGAAAGTCAAGTCTCGATCATGAACCCACTTTCGGTCCTCAACCCAGTTTCGGTCCTAGACCTAGTTTGGGTCCTAAACCCAGATTCGGTCCTAAAACCAGATTCGGTCCCAATCCTAGTTATGTATCCTCCAAGTCCCAAGATGAAACAAATTCTTTCAAGGACATCAAAGGAAAAGGAAAGCTGGTATCAGATTCTGAGAAGGAAAATAAGAAATCCTCCACTAAACCTAGGAATCAAACGAAAAACACTAAACCATCAAAAGCAACACCAAATGATACACTAAAATTGAAAGAAGATTAATAAAAAATGAAGGTGTATACCATTAAAATAAAATATCAAATGAATCTTATTAAACAAACTTATTTGGTTGATGCTTCTATAGTTATTCCTTTCTCTGTGAAAAACTCACCAGGACCCAAGAAACTTTGGGTTCCTAAATCTGCTTGAATTTGCAGGTAATCAGTGACGAGCAGTTTGACGACGAATGGTATATAGACAGTGGCTGCTCACGTCACATGACAGGGAGGAAGGAGGAGCTAAGGGAGTTTCGGTCCCTGAAAGATGGTGGGTCTGTGAAGTTTGGAAACAATTCCTATGGAACAATCAAAGGATACGGCATGATAACTAATGGAGACATCTCAATCAGACAGGTGACTTATGTAGAGGGATTGCATCACAATCTCATCAGTGTATCGCAATTAGTTGTGGGCACAGGTTTGAAGGTATCATTCGATGATGAGGGGTCTGAGATAATTGAAAAACAATCCAAGAAGGTTCTGCTGAAATCTGCGCGAAAGGGAGAGATGTACCCTCTGAATCTTAATCCAATTCGAGGGACACCAGCTATCTGTCTACTGTCAAAGGGAAACACTAATGAAAGCTGGTTATGGCATCGATGTCTATCACACCTAAATTTCAAAGATAGCAACAAATTAGTGATTGGTGATCACGTTCGAAGCCTTCCTCTTCTCAAGTTCGATAAGGAGCATTTATGTGCAACATGTGAGATGGGTAAGCAGAGCAGAAAAAGCCACCCTAAATGCATCAATACTAAGATAGTGGAAACTCTTGAACTGTTACACATTGATTTGTGTGGACCTTCTGCTATAGAAAGTATCGTTGGAAGTAAGTACATTCTTGTTATTGTAGATGACTTTTCCTGCTTCACTTGAGTTTTCTTTCTTAAACAAAAATTAGATGAAACTCCCAAGCTAAAGGTGTTCATCAAGCAAGTGGAAGTGCAATTAAGGAAGACGGTCAGAAACATCAGAAGTGACAATGGACTCGAAATCAAGAACAAGGATTTTGAAGACTTTCTGGCTAATAAGGGGATAACTCACAATTTTTCAGCCCCTTATACACCAAAGCAGAATGGGATTGTTGAAAGACGAAACCGCTCGTTATGTGAAGCAGCCAGAACCATGCTCAATTATGCTTCCCTACCTTTGCTTCTGGCCTGATGCCATTGTTGCTGCTTGCTATACTCAGAATTGGTCTTTGCTCAACAAGAGATTCTCCATAACTCCTTATGAGATCTTAAACAATAGGAAACCGAACGTCAAATTTTTCCACATTTTCGGTTCAAGGTGCTTTATTTTTAATTCTAAAGAGAACCGAAATAAGTTTGATGTTAAAGCCGATGAGGGCATATTTCTGGGTTACTCTCTGTCATCAAAAGCATATAGGGTGTTGAATAAGCGTTCTA